TTATTGCCATGAAAAGTCACACTGGAAGCGAAACTGCCCAAAGTATCTACAAGATGTGAAGGATGGGAAATTAAAACTCAACTATGCAGGTATTTACACTATATTGTCTAATAACTCACCCCATTCTAACTCTTGGGTCATTGATATAGTTTGTGGTATTCACATATGTTTTGATTTGCAGGCACTAAGAAGAAGTGAGAATGTGTAGCATGGGAAGATAAACTTGATCATGGGGAATAGGAAAGCATCGCCTGTGACCAAGATTGGAGATTATACTTGGTTTCTAAGTAGTGGGTTAACATTAGATTTGAATAAATGTTGTTACTCGTCTGAAATGACGAGAAATATTATTTCCTTTCATGTTTTGTACAAACAAGGGTTTAACTTTCCTTTTGATAATGACTATGGTAGTATTAATGCTTTCTTTAATAATGTTCTTTATTTTAAAGCATTACCTTGTGATGGTGTGTATGAAATTGTGTCTGTTGTAGATAACCTAGGAAATAATGTGTTGTGTATTGATTCTTCAACTAACTTGGATAAAGAATCATTGTGGCATTGTCATCTTGGACATGTAAGCAAGAAATGCATAGGCCAACTCCAAAAGGATGGAGCCTTGGAGTCATTTGACCTAAAGTCGGATGATAGTTGTAAATCTTGTCTACTTGGAAAAATGAAAAAATCACCCTTCACTGGTTCTTGTGCTAGGGGTGAAGGTTTGTTGGATCTGGTACTCACTAATGTGTGTGGACCCTTCAGAACCGCCACAAGGGATGCTAACCTCTTTTATATGACTTTTACTGATGATTTTAGTAGATATTGATATGTCTACTTAATCAAGCATAAGTCATAAACGTTTGAAAAGTTCAAAGAGTTTAAGCAGGAAGTGGAGAATAAATTGGGCAGAAACATTAAGATGCTTCGATCCGATCGAGGCGGTGAGTATCTTAGTACAAAATTCCTTGACTATCTTAAGGAATGTGAGATTGTCTCACAATTGAAACCTCCCAGGACACCACAACTTAATGGTGTGGATGAGAGGCGTAACCGAACCTTGTTCGACATCGTTAGTTCCATAATGAGTCAAGCTTCGCTACCAATCTCATTTTGGAGGTATGCCTTAGTGACTGCCGCCCATATTCTTAATCTAGTCTCTACCAAAAAGATTGCCAAAACACCTCATGAGATGTGGACCAGAAAAGTTCCCAATATGGACCACATCAAGATTTGGGGTTGCGAGGCTTTTGTTAGGCGTGAGACTTACGATAAGCTCGAACCTCAAAGTGAGAGGTGTATTTTCATCGGCTACCCACATAAATCCTTTGGTTACCTCTTCTACAGACCCAGTGATAATGTGGTCTTTGTAGCAAGTAGGGGAGTCTTTCGCGATCGAGAGTTCATAAGCCAAGGAAACAGTGGGAGGGAAATTGACCTTGAAGAAATTCAAGAGTCAAGTGGTGAAGGAACCTCAAACCCTAGCAATCAACCTAAGGAGGAAACTCCTGTTGATCCGACTGACGATTCTGTACCTCTAAGGCATTCCACAAGAGTTAGGAATGCACCTGAGCATTACTATAGTTTCCATATTATTGCGGAAGGTGATACACTTATCAGTGATAACACACTGATTGGTCTGGATGAACCTAACAGCTACACGGAAGCCATGGCAGGCCCTGAGGCTGTTAAATGGAAAGATGCTATGGACAACGAGATACAATCCATGAATGACAATCAAGTTTGGAACTTGGTTGACAATGTACCAGGTTGTAAGACAGTTGGGTGCAAATGGATCTTGAAGAAGAAGACTAACAATGATGATAATGTACACACTTATAAGGCGCAACTGGTTGCAAATGGCTTTTCTCAAACTCCGGGAGTTGATTATGATGAGACCCTTTTACCAGTATCAAAGATTAAGTCTATTAGGATTATGTTAGCTATGGATGCATTTCATGATTATTAAATATGGTAAATGGATGTCAAAACCGCTTTCCTTAATGGAAAGTTGGTTGGGGATGTTTACATGAGTCAGCCAGAGGGTTTTTTCAGTACAGAGTACCCTAATAGATTGTGTAAGCTTGAGAAATCCATCTATGGATTGAAACAAGCACGTCGCAGATGGAATCTTTGTTTTGATGAGATAGTCAAAGAGTTTGGCTTTTTGAGGAGAGAAGATGAATCTTGTGTATATGTTAAGGCTAGTGGGAGTATAGTTAGCTTTTGGTATTGTATGTGGATGACATACTACTCATGGGAAATGACATCCCAACTTTGCAGGAGGTTAAGTCTTGGCTTGGTAAGTGTTTCATTATGAAGGACCGTGGAGAAGCTACCAATATCCTAGGGATAAGGATTTTGAGAGACAGAAGTAAAAGACTAATTGGACTTAGTTAGAGTACCTACTTGGATATGGTGCTGAATAGGTTCAACATGCAGAATTCCAAGAAAGGAGAGTTACCGATCCAGAGTAATGCCAGATTGAGTAAGATACAGAGCCCGAGTCCAGAGGTTGAGATAGCTGAAATGAGTCGAGTACCGTATGCTTCTGCTATAGGCTCGATCATGTATTATATGACTTGTACTTGTCCTGATGTGGCCTTCGCATTGAGCATGGTCAACAGATATCAGGGGAACCTTGGCAAGGATCACTGGATTGCAGTAAAGAACATTCTCAAGTACCTGCGGAGGACTAAGGATTGGGTCCTTACCCTTGGTGGGAGTGATGACTTGAGAGTAGTAGGGTACAGTGATGCTAGTTTCCAGACTGATAAGGATAATTCCCACTCTCAGTCGGGTTGGGTCTTTACCTTAAACGGAGGAGCAATTACTTGCAAAAGTTCCAAGCAGTAGACAATGGTGATTCAACTTGCGAGTCAGAATATATAGTAGCATGCGAGGCAGCGAAGGAGGCTATATGACTAAAGAACTTCATTGGATACCTTGGAGTTGTACCGACTATAAAGGAGCCTATGGAAAATTTCTGTGATAGTGAAAGTGCAACTGCCTTAGCCAAGGAACCAAGGGATCATGGGAGATCTAGACACATCGACAAAAAATATCATTTCATCAGACATTGAATAGAAGAAGGACTCCTCGTGGGAAAGAGGGTATCATCGGATAAGAACCCAACAGATCCCCTCACGAAGGGACTGGGTAGGGTTAAGCATCTCCATCATGTGAGGTGCATAGGGCTGAAGGATGATATTAGTTTTAGTAGTTAGATAGCTTTGAAATTTGTAAAGTGTAATTGACATTTGATGATAAATAATATTTATTGTTTATTTATAAGTATATGTGTTGCTATCTTTTGTCAATCGTTTACTATCATTTCATTTTGCATGCTTTGACTTCTAGAATAATTATGTAATGGTATATAATATTATTCAAATTCTCCACGGTCGGTCATATGTTGGAAATAGATATGAATCAAGACTGTCATGAGTTGGCTTGTAGATGTCTAAGTTGTTGGACATAGCAAGAGGTGCTAAAACACTCATGAGTGCTCATAAGTTCTGAGTATGGGATTCAACCCACGCGCACTTGTATCACTTCATGGAATTTATCTCGAGTGATCGTGAGACAGTAATATCATATAAGTCTTTAAACCTAGAGATATGAGTTGTTGACTATGAGTTGGTTATACATTGATTGTACGAAAACGCATTGATAACTCGATGTTATAAAACGTACCTTTGTGTATGATTCAACAAGTAGTAGAACAAGCATATGAGTCAAAGTTTATATGTTCCTTCTTCGCTTAGAAGTGATATCTGGGCCCCTCGATAATTTTGTTTTGACCTATGTACCGGGCCCGGTCAGAACTAAATTGATGTGTTCGATTAAGTTCTATGTCAAACAAATTGGAAATCGGGAAACAAACTGATGGACAATAAGTAAGACATTGTTCCATGTATTTTTTTGGCTGATATCTAGAACAGAGGATTATTTGATCATTTATCTTAAATGACGTATCATCATCATCTCAATTCCACGAGACCTTGAAAGAGCTACGATTGTTGATCGGTTCCTAAAGTCATTCTTGCAGTTATAGTTATTGGACTTATCTAAGTGGGAGACTGTTGGATTAGGTGTCTAAGTTCATAACTGTTCCTGGAATATACTTGACCCAGTTAGCATGGTCCATTTGGGTTGCATGGCATTGCAACACTTGGATAGACTAAATGAGAGAAATAACACTTAAGGTTTATTAATTTATTATAAGTTCTAATATATTAATAATATTATTTAATTAGTATTGATCAAGAATTAATTTAGAATTAATTAAGTGATAAAAAAAAGACTAATTAAATATATGGGATTGATTGTGTAAATCACCTATTATTGTATAGTTGGGCTAATGATCCATGGTTTGTATGGATTGGGTTAAAACCTATAAGGTGCTCCATGGAGAGTCTATGGAGGTTACAAACCCATGGATCATGGAATATGGAAAGCCATGACAATTAGGGTGTACATGGTGTAACCCTACTTGTGACACAACTATATAAAGACCCCACGGATGACCAAAATCGACGACTGCAAGCAAGTAAGAGGAAAAACTGATTTTTGGAGTGTAAGTGTACTTCTCTCAAGGTTATTCCAAGTATTATGGTGTTGTATGAGACATTTGAGGCATCACACTTGAGGTGCTAGGCTTACAAGGTTTTCAAGGAATCCAAACAACTAAAAGGTATGTTCTTCTACTAGCATTTATGTTTAAAGTTCCCCATGCCATGCTAGTTAAGTTAAGAACCTTGGAAAATCATTTTTACATGTATCTTAGTAAAACATAGATCCAAGGTTTCTAGGGTTGCATGTACACCTTAGGAGTGTTAGAATGCTCAAAACCGTTTAAAGACCATATCAGAGAAGCACTTGATGTCATCCTTACTGTTGCCCTTAAATTTCTTCACCAATTCCAATATAAACTCAAGGCAGGATGTGGTGTACAGATGTTTGTCAGGAAGAAAGAAGCAATACTTGCGAAAGTCTGCACCACTTCATTCCCTAGCTTGATACATCACGAACCATCCATCCTTGTAAATCTTCCTTGGCTTCAGCTTTTCAAAGTCCTTTGGAGCTTCCTTAGGAACAACAGAAGGCTTCTTTCGTAACACCTTGGCAATATCCACATCCATTTCCCCAATATCTTGAATGTAAGACATTATCATCAACTTGAGATGGGACATGATAGGTTCGTATTTCTCTTTATCTCTCAGCAGCATGTTGTAGAGTACGATCCAGTCATAAGGGTTAAGACAAGACAAGTCTGCGAGTGTGAATCCGTAGAGCTGGCTGACTGAACCTCTTGCCACTTTGAACATCACATTTGGGAAGTTGTCAGTTTTGATTGGTCCTGTGACTTTCACAGAAGTTATTTTGCTTGTACACCGTGTTTCATATTGTGGCTTCATGTGCTTCAGATAAAATGATAAAAGCATGTGATCAGCCCCACTGTCTGTGGATGGAGCGTTCACAGTTTTCACAAAATAACAAAACTTGAAGGCCTTTTGAGTGATTGGTAGATCTAATTACAAGTCTTGTGTGTTTTAAAGATCAAATGACACAACTGGCTCTAACCAATACTGGCTAGGTAAATCAACGACATCATGCTGGATTCGCTTTAAAGTCCACTTAGGAAATAAAAGCTTTTTCTTTGAAGAGTGGCTTAAGCTTCGTTTTCAGCTTTCTGCTTTTCTTTAGCCTCTCGGATGATCCGTTGGTGCTCATCCAGTTCAGCTTCATGATCCTTTCGCCTTTTAAGCTCATCTTCATCTAACTCTTCTTCATCACAGTTATCAACAATTGGCTCTTCAACAAAAACCTTTTCCTTACCCTTAGGCTCAGATTCCTTTTTGACAATGGGTTTAGCTAGAGCTTTGGGTTCATCTTTCCTGGATACACCTTCTCCGCTTGTTTCGGAATAAATCCTGACTTCAGAACACTCTCCTTCCTGTGAAGCGTAGCGAAGACTGTCGTGAATTTCACAGCAAGATGTTTTCTCCCTGTAATTATGATCATGGAGTCCCTGGTCTCAATGATATCCGAAAGTAAACTTGTAACTTCAGTGATGCAACTTCTCACAAAAGATCTTTGAGACAACAAATCGTTGACCTTTTTCTCAGATGCTTTCAGTTTGACATCCAAAACTTTGATCTTCTCAATTTTGATGGCAAGAGAGTCACTTATTTTTCTCTCCATTGCGAGCTCTTCCTGAAGCTTTGTAATTTTAGAAGAGATAGAGATTTGGAAAGCTTCATGATCAGTTTTGAGACAATCGTGAACCTCTTGAAGTTTCACCTACTCTGCCTTCAAAGAAGTGTTTACATGAATGGCGTCTTTAGTCGTTGTAGTATTGGACTCTGAAGAAGTTTGGAACTTCTCCATGAAGGTAGTAGCATCTGAAATTAGTTTATCGACTTTTTTGGTCGAGGTGGTACATACAGAAGCAGAAGCTTCAACTGCTTTGTTCATCCTATCAATGTTATTAGAATGCTCCTTTGTTATTCTTTCAAAAAGGGACTCGACCACTGCTAGTAAGTCTCAGAAGAGGAAGCCTTGGAAAGGAGAAGCAGTTGGTCAATTTTATCATGTAGAGATTGGAGTTGCCCTTTCATAACTGGGGTCTCGACATCACTTTCAATCCTTATTTGGAAGGGACTATAGTTGAAACCCCCGAGATCTTCATCATCAGTATCACCAAAAATCATGTCCAGATCATCTTGGAGTATGGGAGAAATGGGTGGAGAGACATGATATGATTGAAAGCCTGGAGTTTTAGCCCCCGCATCAGATGTGTTGAATGAAACAATAGGGTCTCCAGAAGTTGTTGGAGGAATAGTGGAATTAGTGTATAAAGGTGTAGATAAGGCAATGGTTCTTTAAGGTTGAGATGAAATAGGTGGAGGGCATGGTGCAATGGTGATCAGTGTAGTGGTGGTTTTAGGAGAAGGAGGAGGAGATGGAACAAAAGCATTATGATTTTTGGTTACCTCAGGATTTGATGTCTCATCTTTGTTGTGAGCAAACTCTTCCTCCTCGTTGCGGATAGGCGGTTCTTATTCAATACGATCATTTGATTGAGATTCAGACTTTGGACTTTCACTTTCGCTTGGAGTGGGTGACTTGCGCTTACGAGTAGCTTGCTTTCGCTTTTTAGGAGCGACAGTAGAATAAGCAGCTTTCGCCTTTCGCTTTGTAGGCGGTTTCGCAGCTGCTGAAGGTCCTTCCTTATTAGTTGTTTTCTTTTCTCCCTTCTTCGCTCCTTTTTGTCCCCCCGTTATGGGTTTATCTGCCTCAACTATAATTGCTTTCATTTTTGGAGTTAAGGGATGAAACCCCGAACCAGTCAGTTTCCTATATCCCTCCAAGATTTTGCTAGACATGGGCACATCACGAAACATTGCCTCTGGAATTGAGCCAATAAAAGAGAACTTTGAAGTATCAGAAACGATAATACCAGTGGTGTGAAAGGTAGAGATTAAAGCCATCATCGCATCTTGCATCAGTGGGATCTTAAGGTTTTCAATGGAGCTTTAGACAATGATGGTCCAAAAACATGCACAAGAGATTTCAATGTGATGTGAGGTAGAGAGGGTGCTCTGAACAACTTGAGCTCATAGAACGAACCCATAATTGACATGCAAACCTATGTAAAGACCATATAGAATCACCATGAACATCTTACTAGCATAGTCGAACCGAGTCACTCTTTCAAAAAAACCTTTGAATAGTAAAGTGAAAAGGCCATTCCATTGAGGAGGCAGATTTGGTTTCCTGAACTTCGAGACGGCGCTTACGGGTTTCTTTGTAGCTGATTTGGTAAAACATCTCTAGAAGGGCCATACTAGACACCATTTTAGGGTTGATCATGTCGTCTGTCTGTGGAAGCCTTAGAAGTGAACATAATCAAGTTTTAGTGATGGAAGTTGTGTGGTTATGGATTTCAAAAGAAATCCTCTGTTCTTCCTAGATATAATTGGCAGAAGAGTAAGCCTTCGATAAGATCGACATTGGAACATTCTCCATCTTGGTGAGTGCAACAGTCAATAGGGAATACTTAAGACATTGAACAATTGGAAGCATAAAACTGTCCTACTTGCACGACTCGAGATCGATCACCAAGTTTTGATGTTGCTTGATGGCTAGTAGGGAGGAGTGTGCAGTTTGATCTTGAACAAAGACATTTTCAGAGGAACCTGCCATTATTGAAGCTTGAGAAATAAGAAGATGAAAAGGAGAATGCTATGATCGCCAGAAATCTTTGAGATGATTTATGAGTGGTAAAGAATGAAGAGTCATCAAAATCCTTATATATTGTTTGATTTGTGAGATAAATTTGGAGAGAGAATACATCGGTTACTGAAATGTCGCCTGAAAAAGCGCGACTTGACAACTGTAGATGTCAGACCCATGCGTCATACGGTGATAAAGTAGCTGTCCATTCAAAATTTCACGCGCCCATTTGAATTCTTATCGACAGGAATTGCCATGTCAGCATTTCCCCTTTCGCAGTTATAATTCGCCAGTCTCTTATAAATATGAATTTTGTTTCAAGAGAACATAAGTGGAATTGCGAACCTGAAAATAAATGTAAGTGCCATGAACCAGACTTTTTGAAAATCACAAAGATTTTTGTGCAATAGTATCAAAGATAAAGAAATAAAATAACACTTTTATGTGGGATTTTGTGATGTCTAATTAAAGACACGAAACTGTGGGTCCCGGGCAAATATCTATTCCTTCGAAGTCAAGAGAAACTAAGAAGTATCTGTGTGGTTTTCCGTTGAAATACGATCAAGTGTTTGATAAGAAATAATAAAAGGCATCTTGTAGCAGGCTTACAAGGTGGCTTCATCTTCATCCAAACTCCGAAACTTGACATAAGTCTGAGAGTTAAACAAAGTACTCGTGTGACAAGTGTAGTAAGCTGAACGAGTAGGTTTGGAATTATTTTGGTGACAAGATCAAATTCTGAAATCTAAAAAAAAAAGGATCTTATGGGAAGAAGTATCTTAGGATAAGAACACATCATAAAGATCTCACAAAAGAAAAAGAGATTTCTTGGCACAAACCATGAAAGTGGCTTTCGTTAATTCTATAGTGAAAATCTTGAACGTTTAATTGTTCACCATCAATTCATTTAAGTGTGTTGGATTTTGGGTTTCACTCAGTTCGTGGTGGACGAAGCTAAGATCATTAACAAAGATGTTGTGTAACCATAAACCTCAGTGGTATTGCTGAGAGTCTTAAGGGTTACATTTATGAGTGCGAAGGCAGTGGAGAAGTGTGAAGGTGGTTCCAGAGAAGTGAATGTATGTAAGTCCCAAAAATTAGTTTGATGTATCAATCAGATCCACTTGATGGTGTGGAATCCCAATCAAGCGGACGATGCAAGATCAAATGGAGAAGAAGAAGGACTTGATGAATCTATGGTTTATTTAATAATACAGATGATTTTCCATACACATAAGATCCACACACACACACACTTCTTCTCTCTAGTTTCTCTCTCTAGAACACCTTAATTTTCACACACTTAGCACCTACACTTCCTTATTCCATCTGACATCTACATACACTATTTATAGGGAATAGTAGCCGTAAACATGTTTACAACCGTAAACGCCACCCAACCGTAAACCCAATGTTGTTTTCGGTCCTAGACTGAAAACTACAATTCCCTAGAAAAGTAAAGTATAAACCATATTTGAGACCCAACAATCTCCCCCTTGGTTTATAACTTTCTTTTCCTTATTTTGATCTAACAAACTCCCCCTAGGTTTATAGATTTTTTTTTGTTGGGTCAAAAATATGGTTTATACTTTGCTTTTTTTAAGCGTTCATTATTTTTGTTTTGGACCGAAAATATTAATTGATTTATTTGTAGCTTGGACCGAAAACCCATGTGTTTTTGGTCTAGCATTGGGTTTGGGCCTTGAGTTTGCGGTCGATATATATATAGATGTAGGAGTGAGGAGTGGAAAAGAGAGACACAAGTGGGAGGAGAATTCATTCATTTCATGTGCATGTGCTAGAGAGAGAAAGTAGAGAGAAGAAGTGTGTGTGTGTTAATCTTGTGTTGGAGCATCAATCTTATCATCAATACATCATAGATTCATATTATTGTTCTTGTTCTTCTTAATTCTATCTTGCATCATCCACTTGATTGGGATTCCGCACCATCAAGTGGATCTGATTGATACATCCAGCTAATTTTTGGGACTTACAGTCGGTATCAGAGCTTGGATTGTATCAATCTTTTAGGCAAGATCTGGAGCAGTTTTTCATTTTTTTTTCTTGAAGGATTTCACATTTTTTGATAGTTTTTGAAAAATTATTGGGGTTTTGTTCTTCGTGTTTTTCATAAAAATAAGTTTTTGATCGAGTTTTGGAGCTAAAAAGGTGAAAATCGCGTTTTTTGGTCGTAAACAGTGAAATCCTGCGGCCATTTTCACATTCGGCATGTTTTTCCAAAGTGTTTACAGCCATAAACATTGTCTACAGCTGCAAACCCCATTTACAGCCGTAAATCCGTTTCTAGTTGTAAACTCGTTTTCAATCAAATAACTTCGTTTTCGGTTCTAAGGCTATATTTTTGGTTTAAAAAAATTAAATTAATTTTTCAAATTTTTAAGTTTTATTTTCAACCCAAAGTTTTGACTTTCTAAATTAACTTTTGACCTCAAAAATTGACTTTGACTTTCAAGTTTGACATTTGACTTTAAACTTTGACTTTCTTGTTTAACTTTCAAAATTTCACTTTTAGCTTTTCGGTTTGACTTTTATGTTTGACTTTTTAAATTTGACTTTTAAGGTTTATAGTCAAAGGGCATTTTTGGTAAACAATGAGTTCCTCAAACATCACGATCAATGAAGTTTTATGTACTCGATGTTGTGAAGCTACAATTAAGTTTCTTCGTGAACAGAATGATTTGCTAAAAAGGGAAAATGAGGACCTTAAATATGAACGATATACACTTAGGAAGGCCCAAAAACCTTTAAAAGCACAACTAGAGGCCAAAAATCAAGGATTTTATAAAACTTCAAGGAGAATACAGTAACAAATGTGTGAATTGTGATTATGTTAAGGAACAACTTGCTAACTTGACTACCGAACTTGATGCATTGAAAGCTAAATATAAAGATACTGAATTCAACTTTAAGAAATTTGATGTGTCAAGTGAGGTAGTTGAATCCATGATAGAAAAAAAATAACATTTAAATATAATCAAACTAAGGGTCTAGGGTATCATAGTGTACCACCTCCTTTCAATGACAACCATAACCCACCCCTTGAGACTAACAATGAAGAAATGCCTGCTTAGTTTGGCCAAACCTCTATACCAGCTTCAGTTAAAACTGAACAATATGGGCCAACTGAGGATATTGAGGTGAACGCTTCTGATGATTCTACTTATTATGCAGGTAAAGTAGCGGAAGATGAGAACAATAAGAACACTATTGAACAAACC